TACATCTATCAAAGCCTAGAGATTACAAAAAACAAATGGCTCGAAACAGTAAATAGTTATGTAGTGCGAGACGAAAACCTGTAAAGTGGGTCCAAGCGGACCCCACAACACTAACCGAGGGTTAAGCGTTTCGGTGTTGCCGGTCTAAAGTAGTGCATGACTCAATGCCTTTGTCATTTTCAGAACGTCCGACGTAGCGAAGACTCCGGCTTTTGTCTACTAAAATATGTTGATAAAAGATTTTATAGTGCTTTCGTATGTAGAATCAATGTGCGCTTTTTTCATAATGAATACCATGCAGTTGAAACTAACTGCACTATTCTTAAGAAACTGTGAGAGAATACTTATCGCATCTTCTTTTAAGGTTACAGTCGCCGAACTTTTGTTCAGATCCAGTAAGGTCATAAGTTCGATCAAGGAAATTTATATGGTGAATAACGAAGCAGAAGGTGTTCGAGGCAACCGCTTCTTGTAGACCGTCTGTCAATAAATTAACAAGACTGCTTTTCGCCTAAACAGATTAACAGATTATTAGAATACGAAAGGACGACTTTCAGTAGGCATAGGAAAGCTCTAATCCGCACATAGCTTTAGGAGAACGTGATATTAGCACAGTTTCAGTAGTGAATTCATGCAAGAAAGCACGTGTCCATACACACAGCAGCATAAAATCAGCTGAACGAATATCATTCGTAATAATATTCGTCTTAATGACAATCTACTGCGAAGCATTTATTATACGGAGTACAAAACAGAGAAATGAAAATAAGAACAGAATAGCCTTGAGAAAAATCTTTCTTTTACTTCTTCATTCAAGCAATATTTTGCTTTCAAAGATTTCAAGAGCAGCCTAAGGTGTTCATAAATAAATTATATAAATTGGCACGAATGCATTCAAATGAGCTAATGTAATGTGTTTTCGGTAGAAAAAGTAAGAGACATATATATGCCTAAAACTATTATAGTGGACCCATGAGCAATTCGAGAAGAAGCGCTACAAGTTTTTAACTCATCTAATAATGCCCATATTTTATTTCTCATCGTTGTTGATTGCCCGTTGTAATTATTAACAATAAATGAGAATACTAATGTATGATTATTATTGCGCGCCTGTGGTTTCGCATAACCTGCGTAGGATAGAGTATTTCTTAAACTTCCACCTTTTACACGTAAATCATTTCTAATTGGCATTGAGTTATAAAATGTATCGAACCATTTTTCTTTTTGTACGCCAATCAGAACTTTAGCTATTGATAATGTTGTTATTCGATTTGTCGGCGATAATCCAGAACCATCTCTGGTTGCCACAGCTGTTTTTTCGATATCATGAAGAGTAAAACAATAATAAGGAAGAACATATAAGAAAGCATCGTCGACTGCGCATATACGAGTATATTGTGCTATTTTTTTTATTAACAGTTCACCGTAAAAATTGATGCTGTCTTGTTGAAACCAATAAACAATTTTATCTAATGTGGGTGACTGATGTGTGTAAATTGTTTTGCGATCTGTCTTTATTACCTCTGTTTTATACTGGTCAAGAACACTGATATTGCGTTGTTCCATTGCTTGTTTTAATTCATTCACCACGTATAGTGTCGAATCTGGTACGGAACAACGAATCGAAAAGTTTCCATTTTGCGGAATAATATCAAGAGCAATCGTGCCACGAAGATAGCCAATATGTCCATACGGTGGCAAGTAAAGAAGCGCATTATTTCCACTACCACTTACACCCGTCGTTAATTCATTAATGATGATAACTTCTGGTGGTGTATCTAATCGAACAATTGAAACTTTATCACCAACATTTCGACCTGGTTGTAAATATATGCTAAACTCATTTTCACGCCAATTTAATGCACTGTTAATCGTACCATAATATTGGCTAGGTAAATAAAGACAGTAACTTTGCCTGTTCATTGTCCTAGGGTTTTATGTAAAAAACCTATATCGTATATATGAAGTAAAGAGAGGAAATTTCTTTGCAACAAAGTGGATATTTTCATCTTCAATAGGCTTCAACGCATGAGATAGGAAGAGTTTTAATGTCTTTGAATGGCTGAAAAGCCGATACATCTGAGAGGTTTAAACTTTTTAATTTTTTTAAGGCACTTTTCTAATGCACTTCTTAAGGCACAAGATGTGTGCATAAGAAGATGTGACTTCTTCTTAAGGCACAACTTCTAGTGTCCCTTTAACCAATACGTTCGAACTCTTCCAAATTTTCCACTTGTTCAACATGTTAAAAACATAGTTTTGTCGTTTAATAACTTCCAGAGTCTGAAAATGTTAGAACGCGTTATGGATCCGCAAATTCAAATACGCAAAATTGTTTAACGTATTTCAGATGAATTAAAAATATTTTTATTCGATCTTATATTTCTTTCTATCAGTTGACAGATTTCAAAAACGGTCTAAGGAGTTCATATGACTTAAAAGTTAATTAATCGAACGCAAGATTGTAAGACAAAGAAAACAAAATCGATTTTTGGCTTGTATGAGTGTCTTCAAACCCACCAAATTGTTGCCTTATCCACATAAGTCTCCAGTCGCAATGTTTTAGCGTTACTAGGGGATGGACCATTACGAGTTGCCGTTACTCTCCGTTACTGCGTTACTGGAGCAACGGTAACAAGTTTGTACTTCATTGTCAAACACTCTGACCTCTCTAATTAGGAATAATATAGCCACAAAACCGTTAACGTACATTTTATAGAGCTACAACTATATTATTACCGATTAGGGAGGTCAAAAATGTTTGACAGTGAAGTACAAAATCGTTACCGATACTCCAGTAACGCAGTAACGGCGAGTAACGATAACTGGTAACGGTCCACCCCCTAATCGTTACTCAAGTGGCATTGTTTTTTGGGTGCCACGTAGCTGGTATCTAACGACATCGAATGGTCTTAAAAATATATGAATTCAAAATTAAATATTTCTTGAAGGTAACTATCTGGTCTCTCGAAACGTGTCTCAAGAAACTTTAGTAACAGAGAGTTTGATCTTCTGCACTGTAAAAAATAAAACATGTAAATGACACACCTAAAGTGAACTCCAAGTCGATTCCCACTGTCTAGAATGCGCGGTGTAGGTGTATAAAATATACATTGAGAAGTGATCGTCTAGGTTTACACATTGAGACCAGTAATAAAGTCTAGTTGTCTAAACCGTCTGTGCTGGAAATGTCTCAAATTCGTCCATCTGTTGTTCAAATTTATCACATGATGATATTTTTCTTTTCACTACGTTTTTTTATCCATTTTAGCTCGGAGTGACAGCATATATGTTTTCAAAGACGGTGATCATGATTCTGCAATCATTTTTTCGTTTGATGCTGTAGTCCACGAGAAAAATGGAAAATAAGAATATTTTTTAACACACTGGCATTGACCGTCTAGGAAAAGTACACACTTTTCGACACCGAGTGAACGTTTAGGCCATTTTACACACCTAGTAACACACTTTATTTTTTATAGTGTGTTTCACGCAATATTTGTCGTTAAACTCGACAAGTAAGAAGAAATTATAGCAAATTTTAGTGAGCTTTATTGATTTTCGTTTTATGTAAAAATGGCGTAAAACCTATTTTACGTAAGAAAACGTTTATATTAGTCTATAGAATTTTTTCGACGAACAAACGCCATAACCATATGCAGGTGAAATGCTTTGTTACTTTTTCAGTAGAAATAAATCTTTAGCCTATACTGCTTTTGAATTCGTTACAGTAGCATTATCAAAAGCTAATATGTTCGTCGAAACGAATACTTTTATACAGTCGCCGTATCAGAAAGAATCAAACTTACAGAAAACTCAGAAGTTTCAGTTTCCATTTACCCGAAATCTTCCCATGTCCAATCATTCAACATTGTTTGCGTAGTATTCCACATGCCAATGTCTGCCACAATCCCTCGACAACTTTTGATGCCTTCACGTTCAAGAGCATCTAACCAATGTGCTATGATTGTATCTGCGTGTGTTTCAGTGAATCGCCAAGTGCCCAAAGTTGGATCTCCACTACCTGTAGATTTCAAGACGGATAAACAGAGAAATGTGATATTTAGAATAATTACTTAACTTACGTACCAACAATATAGATATATCCATCTAAATTTCCATAACTGTCGATGCTTCCACTGTATTGCAGCAATGTTGTATAAACAAAATCTTTTCCAAGATAATGTAAAGCGGCAGCTGTTGTTATTGTTTTTAATGTAGATGCTGGTGAGAGTCCAACATCTTTGTTTTGTTCAAATATGATACTGCCACTGCTACTATTCAAAACAGTTATTGAATAAGATGCGTGGGATACCTGATTGTCTTGGATAAAATTATTCCAAGCATCGTGGAAAGTCGCTAAAAAGCATAAGAGCTGAGAGTTTGAACTATTTAATGTAGCTGGTACCTACTATATGTTGGCATTGTAATAGAAAATGTATTTGTGAAAGCGATAAGAAACAGTATACGCAAACGAATGCTTGATTCCAGGATAAGATATAATTGTGGTTTCTAAATAAATGCAAAAAGACATTTTGATTTGATAGCAGAACATTATCTTGTTTTCTTCTTTTAGATGAAATTGTGAAAAAAGGTATCCTCATATGCACACACCAGTAAACATTGTGTTACACGTGTTGTAAAACCGAAGCATAGTCCTTTTGACCTTTCTTGTGAGTTTTGACCAAATATCAGCCGATATCCTCGTGTCTGATGATGCTAATGCTGATGTTGGCTGTCGTGTTCTACCGGTTTCAGCGCTGAATTGCTAACTAATGCATTCGAGCCCCTTTCTCCTAGTTTGACTTACATAATGGATATTATCTTGTTGAAAACTAAATAGTGCTTCTGCTCCAAACTAGGTCAGAAGTTACATCGGCTAGTTACGTTTTATATTCTTTTTTTGAAAATAGTTTCACGAAAACAGCTTTTCTAAGGATCTCTCAAAAAGCATTTCATTACAATAACAACAATACAAGCATTGTTATTAGTTACAGCATCCAAAAATTATTCGTCCACCTTCCTTTTCCAATTTTCTCGTTAACCATAGTAGCAACAATTAACAATTTCCAAAAAGAATTTGTTCAACTCGAAAAATTTCAAATCTGATGTATATACAAAGATTCCATCAAAACTTCTGACATCAGGGTCTCTAGAAAACCGAAATCTTAGAAAATCAAGTCCTCGAGTTCGATCTAGGAATTCTTTGCGAATAACTCTGTCATATAGAACAAATATTTCTGTGGAAAATGACACGTCTCCGAGCTCTCTGCAACACTTTTTTATGAAACAGCATTCAATTTATGAAAGACCCTGTGTGCGGAACTTTCTTATTTTTCCGTTAATTCTGGTGATTTTGCTGGTATGAAGCCGTTCGTAAATTGTATGCTGCTTCATGAAAAAGCATCACAGAGAGCTCAGAGACCTGTCGTTTTGTTCAAAAATGTTTCTATGTATGACAGAGTTATTCGCAAATCGAATAACATGCATCGAACTCGAGAACTTGGTTTTCTGAGATTTCGGTTTTTTCAGAGACCTTGGAATCTTTGTTTATACCTCATCAGATTTGAAATTTGTTCTAAATACTACGGTCGACGAGAAAAGTGAAAAAGGAAGGTGGATGAATAACTTTTGGACCCACTGTACAAGGGACACTAACAGTTATGATACATACAATTAGAAATTATATGCAATCACGCGCCTCAAATGCGCTAATATAATTATAGACGAAGTAAAACGCCAGGAAAACTGCAACAAATACCAGTCCCAGACGAAGTATGGCAGGTACGGATTTTTGAGGGCCAACGCATCACCCATCGGCAAACAGCAATCAATACGTAGTCACAATGACAGATTATTTATCTAAGTTCATATTTGCAAAACTAACATCAACAAATTCAGTAAACGAAGCATCACAATTTTTTCTGAAAGTGGTCTGTGGTTACGGTACTCCAACCAAACTACTCACAGATTAAGATTTGCACTTTGTCTCTGAATTAACTAATGCCATCGTCAAGCAATGCAATACAACTCACATTTTATCAACACTCTATCATCCGATGACAAATGGTCAGACAGAACGATTCAACGCAACTTTTAGTCTCGCTTTAGCAGAATTATGGGATGAAGAAGCCAACAACTGGAATGACTTTGTACCAACATGTGTTTATGCATATAACACAGGTGAACCCACACCAACTAGCCCTTCACCATTTCAGTTAATGTTCGGAAGACGGTCTCGTCTAACAATTGAAACAAAACAACCAAAAATCACTCAAACCGAACCATTATTACAAATTTATTCAGAAATAAAGAAAATGTTTTCAGAAACGTACAAAAGCAAATATCACAATCAACTTACAAAGAAAAGATATGATCAAAATAAGTCTAATCCGAAATATTCAATTGATCAACTGATGGTGATAGTAACTGATGTAAGTAAACAAGATAGTAACCCATAATACACAAAACAAGCTATAACCCCCAAGTTAGCATCGGTGCATATTCGGACAGCTTAATTTATTTATTATTACCCTTAATACAATACAGACTATCGTTCAGTTTTGTATTATGTCTCCACTTATTCCGGTCTGTTAATATGTTGCCAAGTTTAAAGTGTTGTTAAAGTGTTTAAAGTGTTGTTGATCGAAGTGACTCTATCTGGCTAAGTGAAAGGTCCACAGAAGTTTTTTTTTGGAATTTGTGTTATAAATAATACAAAACACCTAAATGAGTTTCAACCAATTGTCGAACATTTGGATGCGGCTAGCCTAAACACCTTTTCTTTGCAGAAAATCCAGTTTCCTACTTATAACTGTCATGTTTCTTTCTTTTCTTATTATAAGTACTATAATTTCAATATGACTAATCATTTAGTTCGTGATATTAAAATAATTCTCCAACAAACATAGACGGAAAACAATTACGTAATTGGCGAATTAAAACTCATAAATTACAACAACAATTGGCAACATTAGACGTTCCTCGTTCTTGCTATTCAATCAATTTCATTCATTCCAAAACAGAAATTTCAACACTCCGGTCATTAATCGCCAAATTCAACGTTTTCAATTCGAACATCTAATATATCAATAATTAAAACTATTCAGGAGAACTGTGGTGTACCACATGTCAAAGTAATCATTCATGGTAGAAATGTAACAATCACACTTAAAAATTGACAACAACATCAGCTACTTACTCGAACATTACCTCATGACGTTAGTGACATACAACGTTATTGTCACAGTGCTCTGCAGTGTTTCTGTGATATTCTTCGATCGACATAGTTTTTGCTCGAGTGTTAATTCTGAAAATTTTGCCATCCCACCGAGACATCGAGTAGACCCTTATTTATTGTCATTATCGTCATCACCAAAATAAGTACAGAGATCTCCTTGAAAATCGATTTTTAAAAAACATTTCCAAATATCTTTTGGTAATGAAAATGCACTCTGAAGTCTTGGCTATCGAATAGCGAAAACCGCAAGTCTTCATCTACTTTCATTCAACAGTTATTCAAAAAATAGCCACCGGTCTTATAATTTGAAATGGACAATAATACAGGTTTTCACTAGAAAAGCTTGAAGCTTTCGAAAAACACACGCATCTGCGAGGTTTAACACGACCGATAGCCTATATTTGCATTCACTTTCGGTCTGAAAGGTCGGATCGGGTAAAAAAGGTGGAAAACCCTTATTTTTGAGGAACGTGGTTTTCGCTAGATTTTAAAATCTTTTTCAAAGAACAAATATTGCCCCAAGATTCAGCATAGTCGAAACTTAATATAAGAGAGAATTCTATAAAAAAACAATTCCTTCGAAGTTAAACCAATATAACTGAATATATTATAATAATAGATAGAAATAAGAATAATATCTCTACAGAACTGCATTTTCGAAACTTGTCAGACGTATTCCTCAAAATCTTGTGGTGTGACTTACCTTAGTATATTTTATCAAAATCATCTTAACGAATTTTTGTAATAACAAGCCTTGGCTCTTTTATAAATACTTGGAACGAACTGTTCTTCCTATTATATTAAAAGAATTTTAATGAATGTAATAAATCGTTCTTTTTCTATTAGTTTATCTCGCAATATTTGTTCTCGTCTTAACTTCGTAGATAAAACAAAATTTTATATATATGCTTTTTCATCGAACAGCTAGTGTTTTATGGGTTATAGTGGATTTTGCACACCACTCAACGATGGAGTACAACGACCAATTTATTTTGAAACAGATAGTTTTCATACAAACTATGTACAAAACAAATGCGAACACTTTATAAGTCAATTAAATGAGGTAGCTAGTGGTGTTTGTTATTATGGAAGGAGTGTCCTGATTAATCTCTAACAATAGTTTTTATTACACCAATTATGTCAAATTTCTCAGTTAAGAAACGGTTTTCCAGAGATCTCCTTGAAAACCGATTTTTAAAAAACATTTCCAAATATCTTTTGGTAATGAAAACACACTATGAAGTCTTGGCTATCGAATAGCGAAAACCGCAAGTCTTCATCTACTTTCAGTCAACAGTTATTATAAAACCACGTTCCTCAAAAATAAGGGTTTTCCACCTTTTTTACCCGACCCGACCTGTCTGGATATTGTGACCAGCTCATTTTATAGACAATTTCTAGGGCTATCCAGTGGTATGTTTTCGAATAATACATAATTTTCATTATGACAGAAAAACGACTAACGGAGTGTTGAAAGCACTAGGATGCGTCAAAATCATTTTATGGGCCAAGTGTTTCAACTGTTGCCCCATGTGGACATATTTCTCAAAGATTTATTTACAGCTAATCTTACAGTTCGTGAAATTCTCTATTGAATGGTATATCTATCGTAGTGGCTAGTTGAGAAACGTTGATCATAGGATCCTCATCGTGGAATAAGTCACCCGCTTTTCACGGCTTTACAGAAAGCATTTCTAATGTCAAGATGCCCTAGGACACTTTTGTCACTATGTTACACACATGAAATGGTAGCGCAAGGAATTGTCTGTTGATTGGTATATCTGTCATAGTGGCTAGCTGAGAAACGTTGATCATAGGATACTCATCGTGCAATAAACCATCCACTATTCACGACTTTACAGATAATATTTCTGATGTCAACGGGTCCTAGGACACGTTTTTTCACTATCATATGCGTATGAACTTGTAGCGCGAGAAATTCTCTGTCGACTGGCATAGCCATCGTAGTGGCTAGATGATAAAGGGTGTCATAGATTATCTTAGACTGTTTGCACATAGGAGATTATTTTGCATAGACGGAAGTATTTCTGAACATACTTGGCCTCAGAACGACTATCTCGGTATATATAATATACAGAAACATAGCGCAGAAAAAGAGTTTTCGAATGACATATGATAGTTCTACTGAGGTATGAGGTCGAGAGAGACATACTCTAGAATAATATCAATAAATAAATGATTTAAAACCTTTTTTAAAGAACAAATATTGCCCCAAGATTCAGCATAGTCGAAACTTACGTTTCCGTGCATTTCTGAGGTACATTGACTGAAATGCAGTCCTAGGGTTCCGAGGAAAACCTCATCCCCTGCGTAACTATTGCCGATGAAGCTCTCGCTTAGATTCTGTATTGTAGAGGAGACTTTAGTGTAGCTTTCATGAGAAAAAATGAATATATTGCTATGTCAAATTTCTCAGTTAAGAAACGGTTTTTCAAAGATCTCCTTGAAAACCGATTTTTAAAAAACATTTCCAAATATCTTTTGGTAATGAAAATGCACTCTGAAGTCTTGGCTATCGAATAGCGAAAACCGCAAGTCTTCATCTACTTTCATTCAACAGTTATTCAAAAAATAGCCACTGGTCTTATAATTTGAGATGGATAATAGGTCAAATAACTTATTTTGCGTGTTTTTTACTTATTTTGGTGATGACGATAATGACAATGAATTAGTTTATGTTTCGCCAATATATAAGACAAAAAAATTTAGTTAAATATTTAGTTTTTATCGACTTTCCATAATAGTTCATGCACACTCTGGTAACATCCACTACCTTAACTGTTACGAATCAATCAGCTTCCACTTTAATTTGGATTTACAGCTGGGCTTTGCTCTGTATCACCCGCTCTGACAGGCGTAGAAGAACTCTGACCTGGTGGTGCTGCTGAATTAGTAACGGTTGCATTTGCATCTGAATGTTTATTTGATGGATCACTTGGATTATTTGTTGATGGTTGTTGTGCTGGTTCTCGATTTTGTTGTTCCGTTACTACCACAGCATGGTCCATGATCTAAGACGGTGGCAGATAAGAAACGAAAAGTTAAAAAAACATGGTAACATTGTACACATACTCACAATTGAGTTTACGTGTCGTATTCTGAGTTTTAGAAAATGAATGAAAATTTTATTCTTTCTTTTGAAAGTCAAATTTTATGTTGAAACAAAATGATCTTTCTTTTACACTTCTTATCAAGTTGTAGCAAAAACATTAAAAAGATTTTCTTTTTCTCATTCTTTGGATTTTTCATTAAGCAGAATACACATAAAATAAAACTTTCTTTTTTCTCTTTCTCATGTAACATAAATAGTGAAGAAGTCACATTTTGTTGCTCCAAAACACTGTAACACTGGTGCACGATATTTAATGCGATACAAAACAAATCGCATTGTAGCAATTATCGCCGTCTCGTGTTTCTGGATCGAAAAGGTGTTTTTTTCCGTAACAATTTTCTCGAGAAATATAGCTGCTGTCTGAAAAACGAGTATATTGTCCTCTAGCTGAATGTAGAAATGACCGCTTTTGAGAATTTTACGACGTTCTGTCTTTTTGGTATAGCTTCCAAAAGTATGTCGTTTGAAATCTGGAGCTTAGTAATTTTTTTAGCAAAACGGATAATTAATCTAACAGTATGCAGGCATAATGTGTGTTGAAGCTGAAGAATCGCATTCGCAGTTGATTCACTGCATTATCTACATAAGTTACATGTGATTGATATGATAATTGAGTCATTTCATCACTTTCAAAAACTGGTTTACTAGAAAGTTACATGGTGAATACTCGTGATGCAAACATTACATTAGCAAGTCTCGCACAGCTTGATTGGCGTGTAATTCTTTTATAGCGTCTGTCTCGAGACTGCATGTGAGGTAACGATAAATCATCGAACGTATTTTCATCGAACGACATTTCATCGACGACATTTCGTCGAAAGATTTTTTCATCGCACGGACTTTTCATCGCATGGACTTTTCGTCGAGCGACTTTTCATCGAAAGGTTTTTCATCACATGAAC